ATCACCTAACTTTTGACAATTTTTGTCTAATTAATCGACCTAACATGAATTCGAACATACAAAACCAGTTGCAGTTTACCAACAGGAAATTGGCTGGTAGGATAATGAGACTGAACATACAAAACTCATCGGTGAATTGGTGAAAACTCTTTGTTGACTTGCACGAAGAAGAAGGGTGAAAAAAACAAGAGGTCGTCTGAACAATAATTTTTTTGTCAAACTGTTGAATTATGCTTTGTCATCTATGGTTACAACTCAGAAAACACCTACGTTGAGAGACCAATCAGAATTGAAAGACAGATAGTGACATAGTCAATTAACAGTAATAAGAAGAAAAGTTGTTCATGGAAGGCGGTTATATTTCAGTTTTGCACATTCTATATAGGTTGAAACGATTTGTGCAATGATGACCTAATGTTGGGTTTCTATTTCTAGTTCATTTCTCGTGATCCCATCATAACCCCTCAACGTATAGTACCTACGAGTCGTATATGCATCTAGAGGCCCACAAGAAGAAAGTTAATGAAAAATGATGTGAAGGCCTCTACAGTAATCATTTATAGTGACCAATGTGGAAGACAGAATAGGAACATCAAGCTTGTCCTCTTGGATCATTATATCCATAACTCCAATATTCAGCAGATTGTCCAGAGATTTCTGGTTTCCGAGCACTCATAGCTCATGATTTTGGGGTCATTGATAGATGCAAAAAATATTTGGGTTCCTGACGCTGGGTAAAATTTATTGTTACTGCGAGAAAAACATCTCAATGTTGTTCGGATGGAAGATTCAGTTTTTATAAGTATTCGAATGTGTTGCTGATTCGACAATATTGAGAACCTATGAAGGCAAAGAAAGCAAACAAATTCCGATGAAAAAAAAATAGTTTCATTTCTGGAATGATTTTTTGAAATGGAATAAATATGTAGTTTCGATATTCCTTGTCTCTTCTCTGGCATTTGTGGCCCAAACTGCCCAATGTCGAGAAAAACTCCTGAGAATCGTTTATGCAATAGTGGCTTTACCACCATTTTTTTAAATCACATTTTGAAATATTCAACCATATCTATAACATGAACACAACTGACCCTCCTCATCACATTATAATCAACACGAAAGTGCAAAGATTCTAGTTAAGAAACATATACCTGAATATGCGCAATCTTTGAAATGCCTTTTTCTCTAAATATACCAAACGTCCCTTGGGCTACTATAGCACAAAACGCCTCATATGTACCAATACCAATCTTCCATTACCTCATTTTTCAATAGTAGAAATAGTAGACTAAAATCAGCAATTGATGAATTTTGACTGAAGTATCATATTAAATAAGTAAATTCTACAGACAAACTACTGGCCTAGCAATGGGTAGTAACCTCTCCCCCTTATTAGCAGAAATATTCATGAACAACTTAGAAAACCAATTTTTGAATAATCCTAATTACAATGCAAAATTAATCTTTTATTACAGGTATGTGGATGACTGTTTGCTACTTTTTGACGGTTTTTCTCATGATGTCTCCAATTTTCTGAATTACATTAACTCCCTTCATCCCAATATTACTTTTACTAGTGAATTGGAAGTTAACGGTGCTCTGCCTTTCCTTGACTTACTCATATCAAAAAACCTTGAAACTCACACTTTTGATTTTGAAATCTACAGAAAACCTACATCCACTGATACAGTGATTCCATTTAATTCCAACCACCCACCTTCACACAAATTTGCTTCATTTAACTGTTTTTTCCATAGAGTTTTTTCATTACCGCTATCAGATACAGCATTCAATAAGGAGATTAACATTATTAAACAAATCGCTATCAATAACCATTTCCCCTTAGAACAAATCATGAAGATTTATTTCAAATTTTATACAAGGTTTAGGCTAACTTTTAATGTGACTTTGAATCAGTCTTTAGAACCCCCAGTTTTCAGATCTTTACATTTTTTCGGTAATTATTCAGTCCAAATTTCAAAAATTTTCAAAAACTTCAATATTAACATATCCTATAAAACTTCTTCCAATCTCAAACACCTACTTGTTAATTCTAAAGATAAAATTTCTCAGACAAAAAAGTCAGGTGTTTACAGATTAAATTGTAATGATTGCAATTCATCTTATATAGGCCAAACTGGTAGAAGTTTTGAAACCCGCGCATCGGAACATTGCAGAATTGTCCACAAATTTCTCAGATCAGATATTCATGACCCTTCCTCTTCCTTTGCTAATCATATTATTGATTCTAATCACACTTTTGATGTCAAATCCAATATGGATATTATTCACATTTGCAATAAAGGTAAACGGCTAAACCTTTTAGAAATCTTGGAAATTCAAAAATGTATCAATAATCCAAATATTAATTGCCTCAACGACCAAACTAATTTTGAAAGAAACCACATTTTTCGCACACTCAAATTCTCATGATCAATTTTCCCGTTTTCAGGTACTTAAGCCGGACCTGTTTACTCTTGGTGGTGCTTCTTCTTCTTCTGCCTTTATTACTTTTACTACACTTGACAATTCTTCTTCTTCCTTTTGGTCTTCAACCTTACCACGTACCTCTCATAATTTTGTTACAAGGAGATTATTTAATTAACCCATATTGTTTCCTTTGCAATTATTTGTTATTTTGCCAAATAGTATTCTGTACCTCATGATGATTTTGTCATGTCATTTAGTTTGTATAATTGTCACTGTCATTCAGTCTTGTCATGCTGTCATTGTCATTTGCTTACCTTGGCGATTGTTGGATTTCTGTCTTTCAATAGCCATTCAAGATGAAACTCAGTTGAGTGAATTTAAATATCTTCAAAATTTTTTCGTGCCAATGTTGAACCTCATGATTATAAGGTTCTTTTGGCTGTTCAGCCGCTATAAAAATTTAATCACCCCCTTACCGGACTGATTATATTTATACGCTGATATAACCGCTTAAAAAACAATTTTTTGATGAATTTGTAATTACCACATGGCCTAGGTATGTTTTTTCCTCAGCAAACTTATTGTTCGTCTGTTATTCCATTTCTTACAGGTACTCTATTTAATTTTGTCTGAAGATGGCTGTTTAGCCGAAACTAGTCACACTAGCAATTGTAATATAATTTGTGGTCGACCGACTTTGTGAATTTGTTTTTTCTTTTTTTTTTCTTTTATCATATTATACTTTGATAAAGTATAATCCTCCCTCTGCCCCTTCACTGTCCAGAACAATGCATCATCCTGATGATGATTTTAGCTCGTGGATATTGAATTCCCTAACAATATAACAGGCAATAACAATGAATTTGAAAAGAAATTGCCGTAAACCGAACACAGTTGCTGGTAATGGTGAATAATAAGGCCACTCCTGATTTTTGTCAGTGTACCGACGTTTGTTATGCTTGAAAGCAGAGAATTAACTCGTATCTACTATGTGGAAAATATAATAATATACCTACATAATAGAGTAGCGTGTTCCAAAGTAACAAATATATAATATCATTTTAACATCACCCAGAGTCATACAGCAAACGACTTGGTAGAAATATATATAGCAGAATTGTTTATAATATATAACATATATACAGGATGACATTGAAATAACTACATTTAATTCAAATCCTAAGATCAAGATGTACTATCGAATATAGGGATTGATATACAATTTGGGCCAAGATCCCTTTTAATCACAAAGTTTTTGCAATAAAACCAGCGTATATAACTATATTCCGGAGAATACGAGTAGAGTAACGTGTATTACCTGCCCTGAAATACTGGATACGAGTAGAGTCCCTGTATGGGTACGAATGGAGTCGTATGGGAGAAACAGTATTCTCCTTCCGAAAAATATACGTTCTATGAAGAAGGTTCATTTAGGCCAAGGGAGGTCAGATTGTTTAGTGAAAGTAGTCTCCTATCTAAATGATTTGTTAAGAGATGGATCGGGTTATAAAAATATATACATTATAGGAAGATGGTTCTTTGAGGGTAAAGTTAATGTGTTTAGAAATAGTAGTATATCCTTCCCAAAAATATACTTTTTATGAAGAAGGTTCATTTTGGCCAAGTGAGGTTAGATTGTTCAGAAAAAGTAGTCTCCTTTTTAAGATATAATCCTTCCTCACGGAGCGTTTGTCATCAACCAGTATAATCCGGTCGCAATGGACCCATAATACCGAACACAATTTTCCTATTCATTCTCTACTATACCTCTTACGTCTGGGGACTCTACTCGTAGTATACCATTTTTTGTAAAGTGGATTAAATCAGGTAAACTGGACTTCACTAGTTTCTGCCCAACTATTCAGACTTAACTTATAAACACATTTTCGTCACACTCATACTGATTCCAATCATTTCAATTGTCTTGAAATGGCGTACCTACCCGATTTTTTGAATTGTTTGTTCAAATTTCAAATGGAAATTTCTTGTTAATCAGAATCTGATATTGAAATGGAGATATATTATGAACATAAAAAAATGGATACGAAATAAAAAGAGATATATTGAGAATTCGCATTCTCTATCTGATAATTCATTGTCGGTATATTCAACAGGAAACAACTATACTTTCTAGACTACATGCCACGACAAACCATTGAATTAAATCTATCGAACACATAATATTTGAATTTGAAAATAAAATCTTCTGAAGTTGAGAATTTACATTATCTTTAAAATAAGTATAACAATTCATCGTACAACTAATCTTAATCTAAAGTTTTGGAGATATTCATTCGCATTTATCATATTGATATGTTCAATTTGTGTACGTATTTCAAGATCACCCTGCATATGAACAAACCAAAGATTGCCGCAAGGTTTTTTTCTTTCGAGTATGCAGTGATGAGCTTTCGAAAAATTTGAAGGGGTTTTGATTTCACTGTGTAAACTAAATATATTATATGACTTTCCAGCAAAACGAAGATTTTCTGATTTGAATTCATTAAATAACCTTGAGAGTATCTATACATATTATATACATGTTATTATAAACCTTGTATTATTTTTTCCAGGACTTAATTGCACCCCTCCGGCAATAGATGATTTTCCGAAGGACTTTTTTTCCGAAAAGCAACGCCAAGATGGCGCTGTCATAGTGCATATTTTAGTTTCCCTCTACCTCTTCGTTGCTTTGGCTGTAGTCTGTGATAAATATTTTGTACCAGCAGTCGACAAAATATGTCAGGGTAAGTGAACCATCATATGCTGTCATTGAAGATTCAAGTAATGAGAATATTCTGAAAGTAGTTACTCACATCTTTACTCACTCTTTCTGGTGTTTCATTCCATATCGAATGAGTTTTGCACAATTTCTTGCCAGAGAAAAACTGAAATCATCTTATGGAAAGCAGTTTTTAGGAAAATATTGAACATCTCAATGATGATTAGATAATGTAGTTCTATAAATATCATCTCATCTCCATCTCATCTTCATCTCATCCCCATTGCCACTTTCAGATTGCTAAAGCAAGTTGCGCCGAGTAACTCCGGGTAGTAAAACTCCGTAATAAAGGTACCTAATAGAAATGCTTTTGATCAATTTAGGATCTGATCTCCATTTAATCTCCATCTAATCTCCATCTCAATCTCACATCCTCTCATATTCATTTCTTCTGAATTACATATTTTCTCCAATTTCGTATCGGTTTCAGCGTTGAACATGTCTGTGGATGTGCAGGAGCCATTTTCACAGTTTCATCTCATCATCATTTCATCTCCATCTGATCTCCATCTCATTTCAATCGCCTTCCAGCCGCTTTCCAATTGCCATTGCGAGTAGCCTGACGAGTAACTCCGGGTAGTAAAAACTCCGCAACAATATTAGTGAAAAGGTTTTTGATCTATTAAGGATTTACATCTCCATCTGATTTTCATCACATCTTCATCTTGTCGCCATCTCATGTCCATCTAATCTACATCTCAATCCCATTTCCTCCACTCATATTGGTTTCGTCTTCTTCACATTATTTGATCTTCTGGCGTTAATACGCACGCGTGGTTTCAGCGTTCAACAAGTCTGTGAACGTGGCAGGATCCATTTTCTCATCTTCATCTCATCTCCACTAATCTCCATCTCATTTCAATCGCCTCTCAGCCGCTTTCCAATTGCCATTGTGAGTAGCACCGAGTAACTCCGGGTAGTAAAAACTCCGTAATATATAAGTGGAAATGTTTTTGATCAATTCAGGATGTACATCTCCATCTGCTATCCATCACATCTTCATCTTATCTCCATCTCATGTCCATTTAATCTCCGTCTCAATACCATCTCCACTCATATTCGTTTCTTCTTCTTCACATTCTTTGATCTTCTGACGTTGATACATGTCTGTGGACGTAAAAGGATCCATTTTCTCATCTTTATCTCATCATCATTCCATCTCCATCTGATCTCCATCTCATTGCAATCGTTTCCCAACCGCTTTCCAATTGCGAGTGTGAGTAACTCCGGGTAGTAAAAACTCCGTAACAATATTAGTGGCAAGGTTTTTGATCAATTCAGGATGAAAATTTCTGTCTGATCTCCATCTGATCTCCATCTAATCTTCATTCTTCATCTCAATCTCATCTTCTCCTATCATATTCATTTCTTCTCCTTCACGGTTTTATGATCGTTTTGAACTGATAAGCAGGTGAGTATCTAGGAGGAATAATGCGAGAAGGTAGGCAATGGAAAGAAGTCTTCTTGGATGTTCTCCTGGATTACCATATTTTGTTCAAACTCGTATCGGTTTCAGCGTTGAACATGTCTGTGGACGTGGCAGGAGCTACTTTCATGGCAGCCGCCACCTCGGCTCCAGAGCTCTTCGTCAACGTTATCGGAACCTTCATCACCGAAGGAGATATTGGGGTAGGAACGATAGTGGGATCGGCCGTCTTCAATATCCTGGCCGTTGCAGCGTGCTGTGGCATCGGGGCAGGAATGGTAAGCATGTTCGACATGTAAAAGTTATGTTGGGACAAATATATTCACATAATATAGGTTGTTATTTTTGGTCTATCAGAGCTTGTCAGTGGTACCTGGTCTCTAACTTTATACCCATAGTGAGATAGAAGTGGCTCTATCTCAGCAAGGATCGCGTATTGGTACTACATTGACACATACAGAATGTAGCAAAAAAAATGTATTGTGAAGAAATTTCATATACTTATTTAATACAAATCCAATATATTGGACAAAAAACGATGAATTGAAGAAGAAATCCATATTCAATCTCGTTAGAACCTCATAGGGTCTCATCAGGCCCACATTCTGGATATTGTCACTATGCTCATATCCAACAGATTTTCATCAGGTCCATATTCAATATATTTCCACCATTCAATATCTTTCCACCATGCCCACATTCGATTGATACATATTCAGTATATTATGAAAGTTATTGTAGATTACTCACTCATCAAGTATTTACAAAAACGCCAAAAATTAATCGACGATGTCATAATATGGTACAAACATTCAACACATAAGTACTTCGATGGGATTTTAAAAAATTTCGAAAAAACATATAAAATATTTGTTCGGGTCCGGAGAAGAGCAGGAGGGACCTCAACTTTATTAAACACTGACAAATACTTAACCTTGACAATATAATTGAATCCTCAGGTTAGAATCAATATCGCTCCTGGTTGGCACCATATTTTATAAAGGCCCACATTAATCTTACTGCACCCACATCAAATAGATTCTCATCATGCCCACATACTATACTCACATCCAATAATCAGGCCCACATATTCTACATATTCTCAACATGAGATTTTCAAATTGTAGAATGTGAAAAATATACAATGCCAGTTCAGTAGCCTATTCCCGTTATCATTTTTTTGTTCTTTATTACCCCAAGAAACATCTTTGTTTATAATAGGGATATATAAACATATGATATATATTGATACAATTTCGACAAAAACAAACAACTAACCAACGACCTAAAACGGAACCTTGTGGTACACCACATTCGATCTCCCTTAAGGAGCTACAAATATTATTGACTTCAACATTCTGCTTCATATTTTCCAGATAATTGTTTGACCAATCAAATATTTTTCCTCTGATACCTATTGAATATATTTAACTCAGTAAAATATCATGATTTACAGTATCGAAAGCTCTACATAAATCTAAAGACAAGAGACAACATTTATAATTTTGAAAAATTTTAAACTGAATATCCGAAAATACATCCATAACTGCTACCTCAGTGTCTTTCGATGTATATTCAACAGTCCAAAGGAAGCATATATTCTCAAATCGTCTATATAGGACGTATTAGCGAAGATATTTCTGCCTAATGTACCTACTATTTGATTCTTCCATTCCGAATGTGTAAACATTTGATTGAGAAATTGCATTTTTATGATTCTTTGATTATCTGATATTTCTCTTACAGTGTGGAGCGAAAGTGGTTCCCTTAGATTGGTGGCCACTAACCAGAGATTGTTTAGCATACGGCATAACTGTATCTATTTTGATCTGTATCATCCATGATGAAAGAGTGGAATGGTATGAAGCATTGTGCTTGGTCTTACTGTATATAGTTTACATCTTCATCATGTACTTCGATAAATCCATCCAGAAATTTGTGAGGGGTAAGTTCATATTATTTCCACAATGGGTATTATTTGTAAAAATAGTAATACATATTATCATTGGATATATCTACTCAAGAAATTGACACCACTAAAAACACATAGCAAAGCATTTTTTCAATCTGCACAGTCACTTATTTCTATATCAATCGCACTTCCTCAGGCAGACTGGAGTACATACGCACCAAAAAGGCACAAAACAAAGAGAAAGCTAGCTGTAAATCCACAGGTGAGTCAGTAGGTGGAAATTGTCACCAAAAGTAACTCAATTCAATAGATTATTTATTTCATAAAAATAATAATAATAAAGAACACATTACTTATAATCAAATGCTTTGTAGACATTTTGGAGACGCATTTACACCTACAACTTCCAGACGAGAATGGAAAAGAAGACACGGATAGCAAAGATAACAACATTGAAATAGATCAAGATAAATTGGCCAACAGAAACAACGACCATGCCAAATCTGCAGACAAAGACAATAACATCCTTTTCATCGATCAAAACTCTGAAACTCCTGTTCCTGCTCATGTTAATGGTTCCATAAAGAATCCCGTGACAGCTGAAGTAGCTGATGTAGCAGAGGCCAATAATAAAACAGAAGAGAGTAAAAGTGTAGGAGGAGATGAAGAACCACATAGTTTGTGGAAATGGCCGACAGGCAGTGGAATATTCCGAAAAGTGAGTACTGAAATAATAATTATTCACTGTGAAGATCCATCCAGTAAAGTTTAGTTGTACCGTTATCAATTTTTTCGGTTAGATAATCCAAAATGATTCTCCGTTATCACGTATCTGATGATGACGATGACCTGAAGCAGGATCCTCTTTAGAGAATACCCTGCATCAAGTCTATGTACTGAAAACGAAATCTAAGGTTGTGGTTGCAGATATCATATCCATGCTAATGTGAGGAATCGTTACACAGTGAATCTGAATTCCAATCCACAAGCTGTAAGATATACATCCTATCGAAACGGTTCCGCAAGGCATTTCAGACTGGAAAAGGAAGGCTACTTTCTACTAGAGTCCGGAAAGGTCCACTTCTCCTCACTCATTTTAGTGTCGAAAGAGTAACTTTTCTGCACTAGTGCGGAACAAACTTTCAACACTAAAATGAGTGCGGGAAAAAGACATTTGGTTTTTTTCGGCATGCTAATAGAAAAAATAGTGTACCTGACACGTGAAGTGACTCTTCCGCACTTGTTAGGTAAACTACTATTTCGACGAAATCCAAAAATACGTTCGTCATGGAAAAAACTCTATTCGCAACAAGAATAGCAGAACCTTAACCTCCTGAGTGAACGTTTCATACCCATAATTTTTCAAAAATGTGAAAAGGTGGAAGTGCTCAGTTTGGAAGATCGATTCACTGGATTAGGAATATAGCTTAGAAATACCAACAATAATAAAATTCAAAGATCGATTCAATTTTGCTTGAAATCTATATATAGATGTGAAGCTCGAACGCGATACTTGTTTACTCACAAAATTGAGCCTAAAAAATCGGCAACGTAGCAAAATACGCCCAAAGAATGATATGGTATAAGTTTTTTGAATCAATTTTTGAGTTGAATTCATTTTTGAATTTTTCGCCGAATGTACGGGATGTCCCAGAACAACGTACATTAAATTCAACAGGGTGAACTAGAGTTCAAAATAGGTCGATTGAGACCAACTTACCTCTGTACGAAAATGTACCGTTGGGCCGTGAGAGGGCGATGAATGGATTTTTTTTTTTTCAGATTTTATTGAATATTTTCCTTGAGAGGTAATGCTCTGAAATTTGGAAGGCACTCAACTATAAGTAGTGTGCATATATAACAGGTCTCATCAGTTCAATCGATATACAGGAAGATACAAATTTAGCATTCTGATTGGAGAAAATCCATAGAACTTTTTTTGAGTACGCCACTGACAATATTTTAATATCTACTTGAATAACAACATCAATTATCTATATTTTTTCTCACTACATTTCTTTCTGAATTTGGGTTGGTTTACGAGATATCTGAAAAAGTTCTTTCGGAGTCCCTCCATATCATCCATAGTCCAAGATATCAGAGTTATCGTGTTCTGCAGGTTTCTTCCTCCTTCATGTTGATATTTTGGTCACGTTTTCATGTTGATTATTTAATAACCTTTTCATCGTACAGGATGGCCCATTTTCAACTTGACAGGGAGATTTTAGGTGATAATAGCGTAGATACGAAAAAATAGCAACTATTTTGGATAACTTCTGTATTGAATTTGTGTAGTGATTTTGATTAGAGGAAGGATGAATAGAAAATTATTATTATTCCTATTATTATTTATTATTATTATAATTATTCTTTGTCTCTGAGATCCAGTTTATTTTTCAATTATTGATTCGATGAACTCATCTGATGAAGAGCTTGCTAAAATGAATATGATATCTGTGCCCCCGAACTCTCAACAGAACGAAAAAACCTGCAAACGACTTCGATTGTGAGCAGGAGGTGCAAACTAAAATCGACCGATCTGAGCATTTTTTCGTATCTACGCTATTATCACCCAAAACCTCCCTGTCAAGTTGAAAATGGGCCATGCTGTATGATGAGAAGGTTATTAAATAATTAACATGAATACGTGACCAAAATATCAACATGAAGGAGGAAGAAACCTGCAGAACACAATAACTCCGATATCTTGGACTATGGCATTTGGAGGGACTCCGAACGAATTTTTTCAGATATCTCGTAAACCAAGCAAAATTTAGAAAGAAATGTGGCGAGGAAAAAGATAGATAATTGATTTTGTTATTCAAGTAGATATCAAAATATGGTCAGTGGCGTACTCAAAAAAAGTTCATGGATTTTCTCCAATCAGAATGCTAAATTTGTATCTCCCTGAATATCGATTGCACTGATGAGACCTGTTATCTATGCACACTTCTTATAGTTGACTGCATTCCAAATTTCAGATCATTACCTCTCAAGGATTTTGAAATATTCAATAAAATCTGAAAAAAAAACTTTCATAAGGTAAGTTGATCCCAATCGACCTATTTTGAACTCTAGTTCACCCTGTTGAATTTAATGTACGTTGTTCTGGGACACCCTGTATATTTGTTTTATCTAAGCCCATTATTGTCTAAACGAGTTGATTGATTTTCAAAAGATGTAATAGCAATGTGAAGGAAATTGAAAGGCCTTCACTTGACCATTTCCATTAAAAAAAAATTTGGGGACGACACCCCCACTGAGGGAGTTGAAAGTATTGCTATGATTTCAACATCCTCCTGAAAAAAAACTCGGATCTTGTCGAAAATTTTTTTTACAAGCTTGCGTGATTCACCCTTCATACCCGAACGCATTTAGTTTGGAAAGTGTAATTCTCCCGTAGTAGTGCACTACCTTTTCAAAGAGCCGCCCTGTATAGTATTTTGGTGCATATTGTTCGTTCGATTCTCTTATTAATTCCGTCGACTACGGAGACACCTGATTCACTTTAAGATAATATAGATAGCATCGCAAAAATATTTTTGTCAGGAATCACGATGTGGGTAAATATCCATACAGATTGAGCTGTCAGATTTTCAAATGAATAGCTCTTTTTCAAAGCCGCCTCAGAGTCTGTGAGAATATACGTCCTCTATTGAATGAAATATCTTTTCTTCGGAGTTCTATACATAGACGTAATCCTTTGGATTGCTGAATATTCAAAATGGATATGATACTAAATCGTGCACATTTTCCCAAAACGAATTCAGAAACTTCAGAACACATTGGGCAGTAACTCATAAATATTCTGCTATGACCCTAAATCTGTTTCTTCGTTAGAGAAAATCTTCAAGATTTGATATTTACATTGGATGGAATTCTTGCCAAACGGTAAAAGTCCAATTCAAATTCGGATGATGGTTGTAATATTTGAATGAAATACTCTATATTAGTCTATATGTGACAGTTGTCGAATGAAATTCAGATGCAGAATAGACGATTTTCAATATTTTCAAGAGAATACTGGTTGAGCCACGGTCAAAACCTGATGATGTTGAGATTGAATTGAGCATACAACTGGTATGAGTTTCACTAACAATTCAAATCTTTAGGTGTTCAATCAATAATGCAGATTATTTTTTTACCATAACTTTGTTTTTCTCCTGCATACTGCCACTACTTAGCTCGAGCCCATACAATTCAATACCCTATCTCTTGTCGACTACAATAAACTTGTCAAAATTACCCTTGTATGTACGAAGTGAATCATCACAAGGTTGAGTTATTATTCCATTTCATTTTGCCCGAATTTCGAGATGAGTTGATTTCAAAATATTAGATACCTGTAGATTGATGAGTTGATCTAGTCATATTAGGTCATCGTATATTGAAATCCTGGCAAAATGAATCCACCACTGCACATATTTTAGTAACCGAAACGTTTCATAAATGTCTTTCGAATATCTGAAGCCTTTCCACTTGAGTCTCTGAAGTTTCAGAAACGTTCCAGAGAATGTAAATGTCCTACCTCAGTGCAATTTCATGGAACGTTTCAACAAAATCGTCCCAGACACGTTCCTAGACAACCGTTATGGGCACGTTCCAACAAAACTGTCTGGGATGCTTTAAAAAAATGTCCTGGGCACGTTTAATAATGGTTTAGAATGTTGTATAGTTCTTCAAAGAAAGTGGATATGGTGTTGAAATTAGGATACATAGACAGTAGAAACAGACAAATTTATTAGGTACTACTCATTCGTATTTTACAAACAGTAGGCAATAATTCCACACTAGCCCAATATCCTAATGAACACTTTCAACTAATATTTCTGAAACACAATATACTGTCTCCAAAACGGTGAAAGAATATACAGCCAACCAATATAATACGATTGAAAAAAGGAAATAATGTATCCTACCTTTTATGTAAACAGCTTCTCATGATGGTAATCTGTGCCGTTCACCAATACCATTCACATTTCCTTCGGATGTGGAATCATTCTTGATAAAATACTTTGTGAATCCTGATGAACCTTTTTGGCTCCTCGAAACTAAGCAACTGGATACGATGGATCACAAATTAACTATCAGGTTTGACTACCACTGCCAAACACACATACATTCAGAAATCATAAAGAGTGACTAGGTATATCGCAAACTCAAAATAGGACCCTAGCATTAGTTGGCGATTGAGTGTTGTTGAGCTAACGTTCATCTCACGCTGTCTAAGCTATTACTGACTCTCGTCTCGATTCATTCGATATACGAAATAAATATTACTTGGTTTCATCTACATTTTGAGGCGAGATACTAAGGTTTCAGACATAAACAATATTGAAAGTTGAATAGGCGTCGAAGTAAAATATAATTATGAGTACAGGTCAAGATTGATGGCGTGGTATAGTAGCAGCAGCTGTTTCTTGATTTGGGATTTTGTATAGTGATAGGTATTTATTATGATGTAGAACAGGTGTAGGCAAGACAACAAACACATGCACTGTTCTTGAAATTTTCCATTTTGGTTTAGTTCGTTCAAACGTTCTTGCAACTGAAAAATATTCGAGAAATCTGGACGGAACGTCTGGGTTACGTTTCAAGTAACGTCTCAAACAGTCCACAATAGGGTAGAATTGAAATGTTTCTGGAAGGTTTCATGTTTCAGACACATAATAATTTTATTGTTACAATACTCTTATAGTGGACTTCTTTTCCATATATTTGTTTTTTATGGTGGACACTGTATATTATCTCATAATTGTTCAATAGCATCACAACAACGATGATGGTTTTGATTATGTAGTCGTAGATAGGTACTCCAAGTACTCAGATGTGTTGAAATAGACAGTTCTACTGTAAACTGAATTTCCACATTTCTGGCTCTGTGGCTCAACATAAGTGACATATTTCGAACATTAGTGACATATTTCGAGCTATATGTGAACGTGATGTGTTTTTGTTTCAGATAACTTGGGTAATAACATGGCCGATTTACCTAGTATTTTTGTTTACCATTCCGGATTGCGAGAGACCCAGATTCAAGAAATGGTTTCCGTTGACATTTTTCATGTGCATTGTTTGGATTGGTTCGCTATCATATGTTGTAGCTTGGATGATAACGATTATTGGTGAGTAGAGCTATCAAAATTGTCAAACCGTTATAACAATCGAAACAATAATAATGAAATATTACGGAAAACCCCTGAATGGAACATATTTCAAACATACTACACACTGTTCTACCACTAACCAACCCGATAATTATACTCAACACGTGTTTCGATAACTATGTTATCATCTTCAGGAGAGGATTAGAACTATCCTCTCCTGAAGATGCTAACATGGTTAACGAAACACGTGTCGAGGCGTAAAATAATCGGTTTGATTAGTGGTAAAACAGTCTATAGTGTATTATAGTGCCAAAGATTCCAATCTTCGACATATATTTCAAATATAGTGAAATTCCCGATTGAGTTCATGAGATAAAAAAATTTCATTTGATCATTCAAAGAGTGCTTATATGTACAGCGAGTCCCACTTTCCTCTCAGCTATTAATCGGACGATTCTTGCCAAATTTGGACTGCAATAAATATGCTATATGATCAGTATTTCAGTGCCGTGAGTTTTTATTGAAATAAAAAGGGGTCGATTTTTCATGAAGGTATTTAAGGTTCCTTTCATCGGGAAAACTAACTTCATAATATTGTTCTTCATGGTTTTTGGTTTTGAACTCCCATATGCGAATTTTCATGTAATTTCTATGGAGGGTTTCGAAAAAACAAGCACATCGAAACAGTATTTTGCGAAGGTGAATAATTATTGACCTGTCCTGGAATACTGTTCCCATATTTGGAGTGCAGCACTCAAACACCTTTCTTGGGAAAATCACGTAAGATCAATTGCTAAAAGTGCATCTTAAAAACTTGGTTTTCTGTTTTGTGCCAGGAGCTATTTCACTTCCAGTCAGCTGCTTATGATCTATAAGACACAGATCCGACCTGTCCTGGAATAATGTTCCCATATTTGGCGTGCAGCACCCAAACATGCCCTTAAACTGTTGGATTCTGTCCAAGAAAGGGCAATTAGTCTCGTGGGTGATGCCTCGCTCACAAACTCACTCACTTCTCTGGAACACCGTAAAAAAGTTGTCGATCTGGCTCTATTTTATAGATATTTTCGTGGACGATGCTCTTCTGAAATATCAAGAATTGTTCCTCCCTTGGCAGTCCTCGCGAGATTAACCAGTCGAGTTGAGGCTTCGCACCCCTTCGTGGTCACTTTGGAGGCCTGCAGAACATCTCTTTCCAAAGACTCGCTCATCCAACGAACAGCGAGGCTCTGGAACTCATTGCCAAGGGAGGTGTTCCCCAAGGCATATAACCTCCAGAAATTTAACAAGAACACCAATTCCTACCTCAATTCCCTTGGTTCTCACGATGTTCTCTGAACTTTACAGGATTTCCCTTTTCGTGGGAACCAGAACATAAAAAAATATCCACTTACCGGAGCTATCGAACTTTTTAACAATTGCAATTGATTCAAACTATTTTTTGGGGCAAGAGATGAAAAAATCAATTCAATCATGATCGTTTGGAATTATTCGAATTTTTGCATATCGACATCCGAAAGATTGAGGAATAATACTATGAAATTAGTGCGAACGAATACCTGATCATTTCATGAAAAATCGACTCTTTTTATCTCAATCAAAACGCAGGGCACTAACGATGAGGATGATTTTCTCTAAAAAACTGATCATATTGATGGTTTTTCATATCAGCCCAAATTTGGTAAGAATCACTGAATCGCACAACTAATAGCTGAGACATAGAGCAGGGGCCGTGTAAGGTGAGACACGCTGTATAGTCATAAATCGAATAATTAAAATAATTTCAACGTGAACGTGAACGAATATCCACCAAATCCCTTGAACATTCCACATTTAAAATTATCAAGAATTCTGCATTCTCTTGGAAGTTAAAAACTCTTTTGTTTCGTCCCAACGGTTTTATTAATGAAGCTGATTACTCGGAGCAAAGCCTGAATTATTCACTACCTTCCCTTTGATGATGTTCGCGATGAGAAGTTTGAATTTTCAGGAGATACATTGAAAATTCCGGATTCTGTAATGGGCATCACATTTTTGGCAGCTGGTACCAGTATCCCAGAAGCAGTGTCTAGCGTGATAGTCGCTAAACAAGGTAAAGTTTCTCATCCATTGAATGAATGCTCGAAACTTTAAAAATATTTGCTTTCTTCCAGGACACGGTTCCATGGGGATCAGCAATTCCATCGGGTCTAACACGTTCGATATCTTGCTCTGTTTGGGGTTGCCTTGGTTCATCAAGGCAACTTTCATGCCTACAATAGCTGGAAAACAATGGGTAAGCTATTTCATTTTTCACTTCTCCATTACTGCTTTATATTTTCTTGGCAACGGTTGCTATTATCATCAGACCCATAACGCCAGGAGCGTTATGTAATGCATTATCATAGATTAACGACTCTTATGAATCATGACGCCTGCTAAAACCTATTCATTTTCATTATTTGATCAAGACTACATAAAGAAGCCAGCAATTACATTCAATAAATCAAATGATAACAGCAATATTCAACAAAGTTCATAATATTAACAAATGCCATGCTTACCATGAGAAGAAAAATGGAAAGAAAATGCTAGGAGCAATGTACCGCTTTTTGAAATCGTTTTCTCATTATAATTAGATAATTTTTTCGTGAGGAATAAGATCCGCCTGAGGCAGCTATCATCCCTCGGGCCAAAGGTCCCCGGGTGAATATTACCCTCCGGCCGTTAAATTTAACAGTGTGGTCCACCCTAGGGTCCCTTGATGGAAATTGACGTTAAAGTCATCTTCACAGGGTACGGACATATCATAGCTGCATTCTTTTTTAATGATCTAGAGACTTTAGTTTTGTCTACTGGAACACCTGACATTGCTGTCACGTCACATCCATGGGCACTACAGAAAATCATTCAAAATTTTAATAATAATAAGTATGTAGGTACAGGGTATTTATTTGTTGAGGAGGATCATATGGCGAACGAGTTTTGTAATTATGATCCGATTCTATTCAAAATTGAAAGGTATCTGGGGTTTTCCGGGGTTGGAGATAATGATTGTTTCGTCAATTTGGAAAATGCAAGATGACGGCTCCAATATATAGCGAAAGAAATTCTCAATGATGATCTGATTCTATTTAAGATTAGTATCTGAGGGTTTTCGGGGTCGAACTTTATGTTTCTTTGTCAAAATTGGGAAATTAAATATAGCGGATCCAATATGGCGAACGAATTTTTTAATTATGATGCGATTCCATTCCAAAATCAAAATTGGTATCTGGGGATTTCCGGGGTAGGAGATTATAATTATTTCGTCAGAATTCAAGATGGCGGATCCAATATGGTGGACAAATTTTGTAATGAAGATCCGATTCTATTTAAAAATTGGTATCTGGGGGTTTTCGAGGTAGGAGATAATGATTGTTTCGTCAAAATTGGAAAATTCAAGATGACGTATTCAATATGGCGAAAGACATTATAGTTCATATAATTATTAGTCTATCACAAATAGAAAATATATAGGATGCAAGAGCGAAAATATCATGCCTATAAGTTATACTGCGTATAAATTATTCGAAAATTACTTTTTATTTAAGGGAGACGAAACAATCATATATATAACATGGGGTAAAGTATATTCTATTCTTCATTTCCCTGCATATTTTACGTATTACTTTTTATCAGCCTACTTTTCCTAGACGAAGTTTTATACATAGTCACTCCATGAATTCTTTTCCGAGTTGGATATAAATATATTTAGCACACATGACATGAGTATAGTAGTTTAGATACCCACATCGAGGTTTCCACCATTTCTCAATCATAAGGTTCAGCTCATAGATAAACTACTGCTCAGCTTGAAATCAGAATTCATTCAGTCAATTGAGTCAATCATGGTATACAGTCTAAGAACAGCCTCTTTTGGTGAAATATATTAAGCTTTCAGCACAATTTATATGTTCACTACTTCGAAAAGATTATGCTGGAGTAGTAAACTCTGAAACTAGAGGATTGTTCATCTATATCTTGGTATAGCTGAATCAGGAATTCCACATGGAAATTACGTATGATACGCCAGTGACCTCAATATAACCTAAAAAACAAGGAATGTCAAAAATCTAGTGTTTATCCCTAGAATTGAACAAGGATGGAACTATATAACTGTTTCACAAACACTTTAGAGTGAGAGGAGACGAGGATCTGTCCGTACCCTGTTAAGGTGACTTTAACGTCAATGTCCATCAAGAGACCCTAGTCCACCCCACTGCTGTACTTTCGTATTCATGGGTGATTTGAATTTTTTTTTCTCATAATAAACTACTCAAAATTATCTACTTTGTCGAGCAGACAAAGATTATCAAACACAATTTTTTGGCATACTGCGATCACAAAACTTCAGCAAAATTAAAGAAAACGGATTGGGCATTTCTTCCACAAAAATTTCCATAATAGCAATCGATTTGGACTACACCTTTTCCAGGAATATTTCAGAAAGCGTCAATTCAATTTCAGAAAGCGTCAATTGTATTTCAGAAAGCGTCAATTGTATTTCAGAATAGTCAATTTAATTTCAAAAAGTGTCAATTGTATTTCAGAATAGTCAATTCAATTTCAGAAAGCATCAATTGTATTTCAGAATAGTCAATTTAATTTCAAAAAGTGTCAATTGTATTTCAGAATAGTCAATCCAATTTCAGAAAGCATCAATTGTATTTCAGAATAGTCAATTTTTTCTTGCTGGAGAAATTGTAATCGATAATTTGCTTTGCTTGACAAAATAGATAATTTTGGGTAGTATTTCATGAGGAAAAAATCTCGAATCGTCCTAGGAATACGAAACTACAGAGAAAACTGTAGCACACTGTATATAACGCACTAGGTACATAAATAGCTATAATGCAAAATGGGTCGGAATAAATTCAAACGACTACAGTTTTCCACAGACCAACGTTACAAAACAACAGAAAAATCATTTGATAATATCATGAACAATTCTCAACAAAACCAATCATTATACATCGTCCCAACGTGAATCATTCATAGTGAGGCAATCTTGAGATCTCATGTTAGTGAACCTGCCCCCCATCCGCGTGTAACTGTCGCCTATGGCATCAAATACACTGTGATATAATATTATATCTGATGTTGTCTACTCCGTTGATGTTTTACGTATGACTTTAGCTTGGAACAAATTTCAGCTGGACAAAAGAACCGAAAGTGTTTGCCTTCTGGTTTCACGTAATTTTCAACATTCTGGCCAACAGCAATAACAGCATTCATTTTACTTGATGATTTGGGATTTTTCTCTTTTGGTTGTTATCTTATATAGGTAGAACATGGTATTCACTATTGAAAACTGATGAACATGTAAATGGTAGATTCAAGATCAATAAATGAAAACATGTTGTAACTCATTTGTATACCCATAACATCATAACATCCTTATCATAACTCATCCATATGCCAACATCAGTCTGTCACTGAAAAGTGTCAAACTGAAAGAACAGAATTTTCGAAGGAAGGAGATTTTCGAAGAGAGCAGATTTGTTCCCGAAACGTCTAAACGTCTATTTGATCTTTGGAAGAAGTCCATGGTAACTCAAAGTGGAGTGGTGTAGTTCATAGATGAAAACCCAAAGTCATCTTTGTTGTGGAGATGACTTTGAGTTTTCATCTATGGATATCTATATTTCTTCTCTTCAATCATTTTTCCAAACAGAGTGTCACTGACGAGCTATCGGATTTTCCTTTTAGGCTCCCTGATAGAAAAATTTGTTGAACGCAGTGACATTTTGGGGCGAATCATCTGATTTTTCCTACTACACATATTTTTTTCTTCATATTCTGGTTTCCACAAAAAGGGATATTCTGTAATGTTCAGAGAACATCGTGAGAACCAAGGGAAATAAGGTAGGAATTGGTGTTCTTCTTGAATTTCTGGAGGTTATATGCCTTGGGGAACATCTTCCTTTGGCAATGTGTTCCGAAGCCTCGCTGTTCGTTGGATGAACGAGTCTTTGGAAAAAGATGTTCTGCAGGCCTCCAAAGTGACCACGAAGGGGTGCGAAGCCTCAACTCGACGGGTTAGCAATTGATCTCACGTGATTTTCCCAAGAAAGGTCATTGCTGATAGTAATACCAAGCATGGGAATGGATGTCTTCAAAGGAATGGTTACTCCTGACAAGCTTGGGAATAGTGAGATCAGCTTTGGTAAAGAAAAGGCATGCTTGTGTTTTGCTTGCATTGAAATCAACCAAGTTATTGGATCCCCATTCGAGAATTGTTGCCAAGTCCATATTTATATTGTCAACATTTCTCCCTCGTTCGTTTCTGATTTGCCTGGCTGGAATTGGAGCCCTGGAAGAGAAGGCGGATTGGAGGGTACATATATTGAAATGATACTCATATTTTTATTTTATAGAAACGAGGAGACAAAATCCCAAATAATCAAGCAAAATGAATGTACCACCTCCTCGATTAACCTACAGACAGTATTTTTCAATAACAGCATTATTCGAATTGTTTAGGAATAGTTTACCCTCAGCATCTATTTTGTTATTGTATCAATATCTACCTTTTTTTTTTTAACTTCTTGATTTTGTTTAGGTGGGCATTAATTCTGCTGGGATAGAATATAGCGCAATTTCACTTCTATCCACCCTATTGATGCTCTACGTGGCATTCGCTTTGAACAAATTCCAGCTGGACAAGAGAGTCGGAAGAGTTTGTCTCCTGATGTATGCCGTTTTCCTTATACTGGCAAGTCTGATAGAGCTGAACGTTTTCTTCAGGGTTAATCTGCCTACATGCGGACGGTGAATGAAAAATTAGGACACATCAAAAGTGTTCGTGGGTGTAGAGGATAATTTGAAATTATAATTTTCACAGAGTTATTTTAATTTTTTACGCATGTTCACCAGTCCTATTTATTTCAAAAGACTCAATAAAATACGCATGGTATTACAGCTCGAACAGTGATAATTGTCAACCATTAATTTTTGGTTAGTAATTAGAGAGATATTGCAGTACCAAAAAATATCAACAAAACCGTAGTTGATCATGACGTAACAATTAAGCCACCAAAGTTGAGTACCTATACAGGGTGGCATTGAAATAAGTGCAAATATTTCAAACACTGAGGAAGCTCGACGTGTACTATCGAATAGGTCGCGTGCACGATGACCGACCCTGGAGGCAAAATATTGAAACACAAACTCACTCTTCTGTGAATTATTCAAACACAACCTCACTTTTTCATTTGTTTACAGAGGAATCAGAGGATGGATATAGTTTTTCACAATATGTTGGCATACGAATCGTGTTTTTTGCGCTATTCATTGATTCAAGCATGCCTTCGCATTGTGCTGTTTGACAATGCACAAAAAATGCAGCGAGAGACTAAGGAATATGATTTTTCAGGTGAATAGTAACCTCACATAGTTATCATTATGAAATGTTGTAATTCCTCATTCAAATTTCTTCTGCCTTCTGCCACTTCTGCAATACAAGCAAATACCGCCGATAGATTGAAAATGTCTACAACACACACGATCGTCAGCATGTCAGACCAGTCCTCCCGATTGATTGCATGAATCCAATCTTCTTGCATTTTTTTAGAAATTTCACTCGTATTTCGATTAGCTCCTATTGCAGAAGGAATTCCGATGAGGAATCATAGAAATTACCAAATTTCAAAAATGAAAACTTATGTGAGTGACTATAGTAGGTACTTACTTCTGAATTATAATGTACCAAACGGATTCCTTCGTCTTCCGCTGCAGTGTTTGTGCATTTTACAACAGCACAATATGATGGCATGAGCGAATTGATGAATAGCCGAAACATACTATTCAGCAATGTTGAGGAGAAGTCGAATTTCAAGGATTTGATAGCTCGTTCAAAAATATGAAAAATAGCTTCCTTGAACTTACGATAATATAGATTGGAAGAGAGTGTGATAAAACATGATTATTAAATGTCTACTGACAATATTTCATAGAAACGTTGCAGATACAGGGTTCAAGGGAAAATGTTTCTTCAAATTTCAAGAAAATCTATATTCGAACATTTACTTTGGAATCATATTTGTTTTTGGCGTTGTTAGTGATTTTCATTGATGATCACTGCCGTTTTTTTCCAGTGCCAGTTCGCTAACTCTATGATTTGAAATAGTAAAAATGTTGAGAGTGAACCGTTAGATCTACACAATTTGAAAAGTGATCATTTTTTATGTAAAATTGAACGAGCTTTCAAAGTTTTCAATAATTATTTCAATCATCTGTTAATGTAACAAGAAGATATGATGTGATTCAACAAAGTACCAGAGTGATACCAGCGCCCTCTGAGAGTAATCACAAAATAAGTTACGAATTCGGATTCCTCATATCAGAAAACCAAAAACTACAATATTTCATTTTCATGGTGCCATAACTTACGACTACATATTTTTGTCTTTATACTATCGGTAGTTCAGAGATTTCCTATTCTCTATGAATCACCCTGTATAGAAGATTACGAGTTGCACGTACATCAATAGAAAATATGTCATGAATGATAAAAAGCGATCGCAGTAACAGCGAGGATACTGTGCATATCTCAGTTTTGAAAGCGCCTTTGACACTGTCTTCCATCATTGAAATATCTGTTTTATTATTATTATTGAAATATTCGGACTGTCACATCTAAACAATATTTTTGCCATTTTTCATTTTAGTATAGGTATATGTATATTAACATAACAAAGTGAAGTCATAGTTGTAGTAGCCACATTTGCAATCAACTATAATAAAACCTATTGATTAGTAATATTTCGTAGATTAGGTTATATATTGAAGTTGTTAATATTGATTGTTCGTTTTGTGTGGGTATTTTACATTATATAACTCTAGTGTTTATTTCAATTTCCATTCGTTATTTATGATTATTAGAAATTATTAGAAACCACAATGTTCTTAAAAATATATTTGAAGATGATCGTATAAAGTTTCAAGCCAAATGTTGAAAGTCATTTTAATACGATGGTCCGACAGATCGGAATGAATATGGAAAGAGTCCTCAGGTGTTTGTTCTAGCAAATTTTCACTACTCATTAAGATATCTCAAGTATGATTTCAGAGGGTCATACCGAAGGCATTCGAGATTGTTATTAGATTTTCATAAATATCGAAAAAAACATTTTTTTTGAAATTCTATCTAGTTTTCTTTCTCTACGTTATTATTAGAGATATAGTGAAACTGAGAGTATTTTTTATGAGGTTTAACGTGGTGATATAGATTTCTCTACGCAACGTTTCGTATTCTTAGAACCATCACCAACTTATTTTTTTTAATGATTTCCTTATCATCTGTCCACGGATTCTAAAAACGTATTTTATTCTGAATTCAACCATGAGGTGGTTTGAATGTGTTTCGACCTAGTTTTAGCCATATCTTCAATGTTTTTTCGAAATTCCAAAGAGGGAATAACAACAGTTCCACCAATTTCTGATCATTCGGTGTTAAATAATACTGAATGTATGTTATTCGATACAAAAACGAATAATTCACTAAATTATTCAGTGCAGCGGTTCAAATTATTTCATGTTAATGGATTCTTATTTTGTAAACAACGAACAGTAATTGAAAAAATAATTTACATTCATAACAAATATTCAAAATTATAACCATTATTTTATAAACAAATATATCCTCTTCTCACAGTTGCTTCTACGACATTCCTAAGCATTTCTGGGGTAATATACTATTGAATGCTTCAATAACACTGTCCCTTATTAGTTCTTCTTCGTTATCAGTTTTTAACGTATCTCTAAAGGTAAAAATCTAGCCTGATTAATTTGAAGGGACTGAAGATTAAGTTGAGTTATCAAGGTGATTCGTGTAAGAACCCATTAACATGAAACAATAATTTGTATAGCACTGCATGGTATAATTTATGAAATATTTCTTTTTACTTTTCGGTACCAAATCACTCCATCAATGTTTGATGCTTATTTATCAAAAATAAGTGGTACTGATGATATTTCCTTTCTGAATTTCGAAAAAACACTGAAGATTAATAAAACTATAGTTTTGATAATGTTTTTTTGATATTATACTGTTGATTTGAACAAGCCGCATCTCTGAAATGATCATGTATCTGTTTGATTCGACACAAATTTGCTCAGTCCAACAAGAATAATTCAAATACAAATAGTTTCTTGACGTAACAAATCCTTTTTTTCCGTGTAGGTCGAAACACATTCAAACCACTATGAAAAATACATGGTTGAATTCAGAACGAAAAAAGCTATCAGAATCTGTGACCACACGATAAGGACCATATTTAAAAAAAATTAATGATGAATACCAATCGTCGCGTAGATAAATCAATCACCACGTTGAATCCCATCATCAAAAGTATTTTCAGTTTTTCTTTATCTCTAATAATAACAGAGAAAACAAAATAAGATGATTCAAGAAATATCTTTTCAATGGTATGACCCTCGGAATGCGCAATTTTTTTTCTATTGAACCGAATTTGTATCTCCTTCAATGCTGTGCAACCTCATTTTGGTCAAACTGTATGTATATACTATTTTTTTCAATAATCCTATTTGTTGTATAGTCATTATCAATTGTTCAAAAAGTTTCCATCAGTTAGTGAAAATATGAAATAACATACTCTATGTCACTATACAATTTATGTTTCTATCATGTTTACCTCAATCTGCTAGAATAGTTAATAGTAAATGCATATTTCAATGCCAATATTTGGGAATGTATGAAAAAATCAAGATCAAAGATAATTACTCCAAAGTTCCAGGTATTTATGTTTATTTACATTAGACATCAATTATACATAGCTCATGTACATAAAGAACATAACATTCATTTGTATTCAACTAAAATAACTATACCTCTTAATAGTTCTCTTATTTCGTATTTTTCACATTCAGTTTTTAGTATAACAATGTAAGTTATAATGTTTGAGTATGACAAATAAATAAATAAAAACATATAATATATGCATGGGTATTAATTTCATGGTTTAGGTACCTAAAATGGACGAAATGAATCGTCGAAATTCTGGAAAATATCGAAGAATGATG